CCCGTGCAGGCGGTGTGCATTTCAAAGCAAGGTGCTTTGCTGCAGCCCTCGTTCTCCTTTTACGTCGACGTGAGTGTTGCCATATTTAATTGTGACGTAGCCGAGATAGGAGAAATATTAATTGTCTTTTTAGTAGCTCATTGGAAGAGCTTAGAATATTGAACGCGTACCTTCTTAAATGTCGTAATGTGAAGTTTTGGAAGTGTAGAACCTGCTACGACATGAAAGGTAATTTACTATACAACAATTCAAGAAGGAACTCAAACTGCACCCTACTACACTGGTTAAATTTTCTCCCAGCTATCCTTCAATGACCCGCCTATAATTTTTTTTTTCTTTTAGCTTTCTCGTGCAACCCATTCTGTATAATTAAGGTATACTTAAAAGTGTACCTTTACCCCCAATAATTTCATCCTGGAAGGTTGGTAACCTTCACGGAGAATGGACGATTGTATAGACGAGGTGAAAAAAAAAAATCATTAGTTTCCTTTTCAGACGGTGTGCGTGTGCATGTAGCCTTTTTTTTTTTCTGGTTTTGTGTTTTTTTTTATAAGTTTAGTTTACCAGCTTGCCTGAGTCTTTTTCTTCTTTTTTTTTTTTCTAAATTTTCTCGTCAAATTATGGATTGGTTAAACTGTGGAGTAATAATCGATTCCGTTGTGCGAAACAGAATGTTTTATACATCCAAAACTTGACAGAACGGGAAATTTAACTTGCTTTCCCTTATCTTGGAAGATCAGAGGAATGCAGCGTATTTTTGCGGGAATTTCGAATACCTGTATCTACATTTCTTACAAAAATTTCAAATATCTAACAACAAGCGGTCATATTCTACTAGTTATTTTATACCAATTCTGGTTGCCGCAATACAGGGCAGCTCAGAATCTTTCTTCCTGGCAAGCTTTCAAAATGCGTTTTCTGCAGAGACGATCACAACAGATTGCTTGGAGGGAATTTCCAAATCGGATCACTTTGTGACGTCATGACATGTTGTTTCCATCATTTCTCACCCCCCAAAAAAACATAAAACCTTGGCAGTTATTAAGGTATAATGAGCGGATAGCCGCGTCGTTACAGAACGCGGCTGCCGCATCCCTGATTCGAGGGCGGTCGATGAAAACTCACTAATTCGCAAACGACATCGCATCACAATCCACTACACCCAGGAACTCTTGTGAGACCGTTCGGAGACCACGCTAATGTTGTCTGAGGCGAGCGACAAAGGGCGGCCTTTACAACGAAGCCCCCTGCGAGAACAAGAGGCCCAAATGAGCACGAGGTGCAAGAAAAGCGCCGACATCAGCGGGAAGCCCCAGACGAGCGTCCACGGTGCGTGTGGCCGGGCGACACTTAACCGCTCCTGCGCTCCACAACACGGATCGAGGATTAATTAGACGGCTGCCGGAGACGCGCCAATGGAGCGACTCAGGCCACCGGCTAGTGCCATCTTGCCGCGGGCGGAATCAATCGGGATCCGATGTGGCGAGTATTCCTCCGGCGAGCCCGCTTCTCGCTCTCGCGGGGACGGCGTTCCGAGCCAGCGGTCGCGCGCGCAAACCCGGACCGGAGCCGGGGCCCGCAGCCAGCGGACCAGGAGAGCAGCGAAGGGCGCCGACAGTGACGCATTGCTTTGGGCGCAATTAATCAGGCCGCTCGCTCCCCCGCTTCTGGCTTTGTCTCAGCACCCACGCCGTCCAAACCAGGCACCCGATTTTTCACGACCGGTTCCCCCGTTTTCACAATGGTGCAGTCGAGACCGACGCGAGAGGAAGGCGACGCTCGCAGTTTCGTTCCCCGCGTACGCTCTCGCCGTTAAGCCTTTCCCTACAAATGCAAAATCAGCGTCGAGCCACGCGCGCTTTCAGCGGAAAGCCTCAGAAAGACGGCTGTCGTCACTGCCCTCTTATATATACTTTTTTTCTTTTTAATGTCGTTTCCTTTCTTTGCAGCGAGCGAAGCATAACTCGAGAATGGCGTTGCGAGGCCGGTTTAAAGAGGAAAGAAAAAGAAATCCATCCAAGACGTCGACGACAATCAGTTTTTCGAGAGAGACGACAGATATTGAAACAACAACAATAACAACAGCGCCTCCGGAAAAGCCGAAGCGCGGGCGCTTGAATGGCGATAGGCGCCAGCGAGAGCAGTGAACCCAACGTCACGCTCGCGTGTAGTGCGGAGAAGCTCGCGTCTTTTTGACAGCCACGTATTCTCTGCATCGGGCAACGCCGCCCTGGCTGGTGACGATAAACGCGCAACCTAGAATGAAGAAGCCGCTGTCGCATGTCCGTACGCCAACCGAAGGCGCGGCTTTCTTTCGGTCGTGCCCTCCAAGGATCAATCCGTTTTAAAGGAATTCTTCGCCTGTTTGTCTCGGAAAACTCTTTGGGGGCATGATGCTGGATGGAGAAACTATAATACTTGCACGCAGAAAGAAAAAAACAAATTTTTTTCCCCCGAGAATTTTAAAACGTTAGTCAATACCGAGGGTTATTATTATCATTTTCCGATATATGTTTTGTCTATCAAAAAAACCCTACATCCATGCTTTTTTTCCCCTTCTTTTTTATGAACTCGTCGCGGTGTAATTTTTTTTTTTTACTTTTACAGGCACCTTTAAAATAGTACATGTACATGCATTTTGGTTTTCTTATGAACTGGTCGTGGTGTAGTTCCTTTTATAAAACCTATAAAATGGTACATACCATATTTTAAACACATTAACGAAGTTACAAGTTTAAAAAAAAAAAAAAAAAGAGGTCTAAAAGTAGGGCACCCAAGAAGCGAGTAAAACAAACTTCTTTTAAGTGTCTCGAGGAAAGCTCCTAATTCGTGTCAAAGTCATGGTGAGCGGCTTGGCGTATAGCAGGGCATTCGCGCCACTTCCGGCCGCCATTACAGGGAGAGAGAAATACTTCCGGTTATCCCATATTCACATTGTGTTTGGGTGGGTGCGCGACGTCTCTTGGTTCCGCAGCGAGCAAATGTGTGAGCGCTACGCTCTAGAAATGCCCCAGTGTCGTGGTTTTAAGTTGCCGATGCGCACCGGCACGAATGAAAACATTAGAAAAGTGTACATTACAGCAGAGACTCGCGTCGCACTGATGGAACCATAATGAAAGCTTTCGGGAGATCATCTACGAAACTACTGGTGATTTCCACAGGTAGCTTTGGAGCGTCTTTCCAAAATCTGCGAGGGAGGCAACGTTTTGCTCCGTAGGACCCGTTCCGAATCGACGAACGGAAGATGGACTCGCATTTCTGGAGCGACCCACCGATTCGCCCAAGACGGTCGGCCATTCAAAATGGCCGCTGCTCGAACTTGACAAGACGACCAACGCCTCAGCCGACTGCGCTTTCCGACGACCAGTCACGACTGTCACTGTTTAGCAGCAGAAATAACACGCGACACAGGCCGGGTGAAAATGACTGCACCCTCGAGCCCGTGTCACAAATAACGAGGAACACGTCCGCGTTCGTCACCGTCACATACCTTTCGGCCGCCTCGAAGCGGCGGGGCACGCACAGCGATCGCCACTGGAGCTCGATTGCTGGTAAAATTTTAATAAACACAAAGAGGTAACAAACCATCACTTGCACGGTCGTTGCCTAATCTGCTCTTGCTTTATGGCACGAGAAAACGCCGGCGGCGTGCAGTGTAAAAACCTAAACAATCAGTGGCTGCAAAATGAACAGGCCTAAACTTGCGTCTGCTTCCGGATTTTCTGTCGTTCTTTTCCTTGTTCTCACAATCACAGATGTCAACGGTTGCGATTTACCACGATGAAGTCCGGGCTTTGTATCCCTGATCTACGCAAAGTAGAAGAGTTGGAGCCGTCACAATCCCGCGTAAACGCCGACGCATTAGAACAGATCGAACTCGACGGCCCGACCGGTCCGGCGACCTGCGACCTCGCCAACCTCGCCGTGCATGTGCACCACGATGCGCACTGCCGAGCTAAAGGAAATGACGTATGCGCCTCTGTCTACTTCCTCCAAGATCTGAGGGAATTCCACGGAGCGGTTGTTACGCGATTTGTGGAGCACCACGGAGCAAGCACTGCCACAGATCTACGGGCGGAAGATGACCAACTCGAGCCAGATCTGTCAGCGGAATATGCGCGCTCTAAATGGAGCGCTTTTGGAGCGCTCGAGATCTGCGAGCGGAATTCACCATAAGATCCGACTCGGCGCGCCCCCTGCGGTGGAGCTCGGACCGTATCTTCGGCGCCTGGGAGAGGTATACAGGTGCCCAACGCCGATGCTTTCCGTTCACGAAGTGGTCCAACGCGTTTAAGGACTTGTAGGTTTTAAGTCCCTGTTTCCTTTTCTACCACTATCAAAGCTTTTTGCTCCTTCTGCCCCAGCTTCGGGTTAAATAGATCATGGTAAACTTCCACCAGCTCGCCTGCGCACTGACTGTATTTAGGTTTTAAGTCGTTCCCAGCTATATGGGCTACGCGGCTCGATGTAGTCGTGAAAATGCGTCCATGATACCTTTGGCAGAAACAAGGGTTTGTTTTTTTCATCCAAGGGATCAGGAAGGCGTGTCGATTAAAACATTAGTAATTTTTGGAGGTACCGCGGTCGGTCCTCGGCGGTGAGACTTTTAAAGTATGCGCTACTCACTGTGGGTCCTAAAAAGCAAACAAAAACATTGGACAACCGGAAACAACATACTGCCCCCGGAAGTTCGGTCATGTTTGTTTTTGTTTACCGTTGAACACCCTGTATACAATACCTACATTTAGGGAGAAAAGAAAAATTCATGTACGTTCGTTTCTCTTCTCTCTCGAAATGTATGTACCCTAACTTGTCCATCGGTTCCGTTGCTTTGTGGGTTCTGTTGTTTGCTCCGAGTCTGGGGATTTTCTCCTGTTGGCTGTGGTACCCGTCACGAGTCATAGTGCCAGAAGCCAGCCGATTGGAGGTCGAACGGGGAAGGAATGCTCTACCAAGCAACGGAATGAAGGAACCTCGAGGAAGAAAAGGCGGGGACCGACCTGGCGCGCAGAATGAGGCAGTGGGCGTAGATGGGCACCTCCTCTCGTCCGACCAGGAAGACCACGTCCGCCGAGTCCCGGTCGTCCATGAGCCGGTGCAGGTCGTCCAGCAGCCGAGCCACGCCGGCCTGAGACTTGTCCGTGAAGTGCAGGGGCGTCGCCTGGGTCACGCGAGTCCCCATCGCCACACTCCTGCACGCCGCAGACATCTTTGTACACCCGCATTCCACCGGACACCATGCACTGCAACCTCCTTTTAATTCACACGCGCCTAAGATCAACCATAAAAATAGACGTCGTCGTTCTGTCGCAACGAGAGCACCCGAACAGTTTCAACCTCGTCATCCGAACCTTCCGACGTCAGACCTTCGCCACTGAGGATGCCGTCGCTCATAATTTATTTTCATCACCTACCAGATGCCTTGATGTTATAGGGTGTTCGGTGGTGATAGCGTGGCGAGAATCTGCAATTTAGTGAAATCGCGGGCTAAAGTAGGCTTCTGCATATTCGTCATCCTGCGACGGGGGGTGTTGGAGACAGGGGGGATTTGTCAAAAGGCAGAGTAGGCAGCTGCCTAGGGCGGCCGAATATTTGAAGATGTAACATTTCTATATATAACATACCGAATATTTGCAGATATAACGGCAAAACATTTCTGAGGATAGCTATAGTTCCGTCCATTCATGGGCAATCTACTGCTGTGCACAAAACGCCAAAATCGATGTCTGGGTCTTTACGTCTCTAAGACAAACCAAGCAAAAAACAGAAACGGAAAGCACGCACAAAGGTAGCGCGGTTCGCCAGAAAGAAAAAAAAAATCGTTAAGCGCAGCCACCAGGGTTCTAATTTAGCGGTTTTCTAAGTTGTCTAGCGAGAGAAATTGCCGTTTTGCGGTTGGAGAGGTTTCTAGCAATTTTCAAATCATGATAGCGTTTTTTTTTCTTCTGTTATCTAGCTTACATTATGAATCGTAAATAGCATAATTTCTGTGGAAAGTCAGTCACGGGGTCGTTATTTTTGCTTAATCTCAACAAAATTGTTTTCAGTGAGATGGTACCGTGGCAAACACTTAAACATGCTTTGAACTGATGTGTGCGTCAATGTATGGATTCATTTTCGCCCAGTAAACTATGCACACCAATTTAAAAAAAAAAAAAAAGATACAGGGGGGGGGGGGGGGGGGGGGGATAGGGCTCTCAATTTTGAGACTGGTTACTGGAAGTTCCAATTAAGAGACGTCAGACGAGTCAGGTAGCTCTAGTGGAGAATCTGACTTGCAAAGTATGTAAATTTGGTCACTGAAGCTCGGAACTGCTACAAAATTATTGCACAAAATATCGGAACTATGAAAATGTATTTTTGCAGGTACTGCGAGACAAGACACCTGGGCCCGTTTTCTCGAACGCGAACCGTGGGTTAAAGTTAACTATTGTCCCTAGAAGGGTATTCTAGGTCACGTGACTGGGAGAGCAGGGGCGTCGAGGGAGGAGCAGTACCTACAAGCAAAATGGCCGCGACGTCGCTTAATGAGGGCTAATAGTTCTGCTTGGATCTGTTAAACATTCATTTCAATACGGCTGTTAGGAGCTGTGCAACGATATTCAATTGGAATGTTTTTCTCTCTACACGAGCTTACTGGCACAGCTGGGACTCAAGGATACTCACGCGCAACGCCATTGGCCAAGAAACTCCTTTGTTGCGGTGTAATTTCAAGGACAAAAGAGGTCATTTTCATTCAATCTCTCCTTTGCAAAATTTGATGACGTAACTCGGGGATCGCAGTACACCCAAGTGACGATATTTGAATGCGGTTCATAGATTGGACCCGAGCATTGCGTGGGCACTCGACTTGGGCTCGTGACAATTGCTAGCTCGAGAAGCATTCGGGTTGTGACCCGTGTCCAATCGCTGCAACGACGACAACAGCCGAGTCATAACAATGTCTGGAACTCAGCGCGTGTCCTGTGCTTTGCCAACCCCAGCGCGTGGCCATGATCAACACTGGCGGCATATAATCGGCTCCAGATCACGTGGCCGCTTGTTCTGGCTGCGAGTTGAGGGGGTGAACGCTGCTCGTTTTTCTTAAATTTTTTTCTGGGACTTCTATTGCGTGGGGTGAAAAACGAACGCGTGTTTCATAGGTCATTAACGTTAGGGATCCGTTTTAAGCGGTATTTGTGCACAGTACAAAAATTGTTGCACAGCTCCTTTAATGACGCACCATCAACCTATTAGCACGTCCAGCAAAGCGGTAGTTCAGAGGGACTACTAAACTAACCGACGGCAGCATTCCGCGAACGCATCACTCTTTAGCAGTCCGGGATCCAAGACATATGACGGTACATAAGCCTTGCAAGTGTTTTTATGGTGAGTAAAAAAATGTTTGGCGAACGAGTGTTGGTATATATTTATACTCGGACGTTTAATTTGTTACACTATGCACGCCAACTCGTGAGCAGCGATTACTTTGCGGAGAAAGGGGGTTATCCTAGATAAAGTCTTCGTTTCGGGTGAACAGCTGGGACATTGTATTGTATTTTTGTTCGCAGTGCGCCGACAGTATGCCGACAGCGTCGAGGTTTCTACATATCCCCGGCGGCCAGAAATTCAACGGTGACGAGAAGCTTAGCTTCTCATCACCAGTGGATCGGTTGGGCAAACGGAAGAGAAGGAAAACAGTTGAGATCAGCAGGAATCGCAGAAACGCGCGTCGCAAGGAACAAAAACGAGACTACAGCACCGGCGTTGCCAGAGTGGAAGGCACACGGGAAAGTTATGCGTTGTTTATGGCGAAACATATTGAAGGAAATGTTTCTTACATTTTTTAATATTCGTCGACAAACTCTAGCATAGCAGCTAAAATTTCTTCGTACCATCTGAAGCAATTAAATTGGTCTTCAAGTACTACATTACTATATTTTGACTTGAAATACCATACTAGTTCGATAATAACCAGCGGAAAAAAGAGGATAAACAAAATGAGTGGCTGGTTTCACCGATAGATGACGCATCTTACTGCCCAATCAAAAATAATTATTGTTGTTCTATATCCAGCCGTTTATTACAGTACCTAGGTACTTCTTCCTTCCTAGGCACCGTGGTTTACCAAAATGGGTTTACTATCGCTTCCAGAAAACCGGCCCTGGTAACAGTGAGTGGACATCGTTCTCTGCATGGAAGCACTGTGCAGACAAAACAGGGTAGCTTCCTTTTAAGGGTTCTTTAATTTAATGGGCTGTTTTTAGACTCACTATAGCAGTAAACAGTGTTAACAATTAGTTTTTGCCCCGCACTTTAGATTTAGTGTTTTTTTAGCGTTTTTTTTTTTTGGGGGGGGGGGGATTCCATGAGCGTTTTTTTATGTTTTAGTTGGCAACACTTGCAACCCCGCGCGTTGTGTGGGGGATTCAATTAGCGTTTTTATTTTTTTTTTATTTTTTAGTTGGCAACACTTGCAGCAAGGCGTGTTGTGTCAGCTTCAGTTTGGCTTGGCGGTCAAGCGTCGTGTCAGCTCCAAGTTTGAAAAGAAAGAGGAAACTAGACTTTGCGCGTGAAACATCGGACAGTGCGACGCGACAATGATATTGACGGCGGCAGAATATAAATTAACGATACTCTAAAATAAATTATGGGAAATGAATGAGAGGGTAGACGCAAAGAAAGGAGGGAGAGAGAACGATGCATTGTAACAACTCAAAGCAAACAAGAATTAAATGACTGCTTGCGGTAGACACTTCGTATTATCCCACGTACTTCAGCGCAATTGTGTCGTTCATCAAAGTAGTAACAATGCTGTCTTTTTCCTTTAAATACAGTGCGCAAGGGAAAAAAACGAAAGACGTTTACATTCATCTGTAATGCCGAACTGGAACGCAGCTCTTGGGGAGGAGGGGAGCGTACGCAGAGGAGGGTCACGTGTGACGTCGCGTGACGTCACACGTGCCGTCACGGGGGTAAAAGTTTTCTGCTATACTTAGCGAGGAAATTTTCCCGTTAAATTTAGCGGGAAAATTTTACCGCTAAATTTTGCGGGAAATTTTTCCGCTGAGTTTAGCGGGAAAATATTTCCGCTAAATTTAGCGGGGAAGTTTTCTCGCTAAATCTAGCGGGAAAATTTAGCGGGGTATTTTGCCCTCGTGACGTCACACGTGATGTCATGTGTGAGGTCATTATGGGAAACGTCCCATAATGCAACGCGCGGTTACGTCGACGGCGACGCCGCTCGAGCCGAAAACGGGTGCCTAAAAGCTGCGCTTTAAAAAAAAAACATTCTGGGTAGTTTAACATTGCAAAGGCACGAAAGAAAGATCCACTTATTTGGATTCAGTTTTAACTGACACAGACAGTCAGGCAACATGCAACCTTTCTAGAGAAAGCAAATACCATCGATAATGTAGACCGAGATTTCGTGGCGACGCACGAATTTTCACAAAACGCCGACTTGAATTTGCAGTCATCAAGGCGTCTGTACACTTACATCAACTCCAGACTCCTTCCTAAACAGCCTCTTGGAAAGGCAACTTTAAAATGGGCAGAAAGGTCCGCGCTTCTGGCTTGTTTGGAAAGAGAGTGTGGCGAATACCTTTTTGGTCCTTGTGGTTTGAAACTGGGGGTTTAAATAAGAGGAACAAAGGAGACACCAAATGAGTTTGCGTGAGAAGTTTGCGAACGACATGACCAGTATCATTAAGACTAAAAATGAAAACGCACGGTCTCGACAATATGGACATCGAATTATTGTCGCAGTTTTCTGGTGGAGCGACAATTTGTAAAGGTTTGTTAGAGCTGGTTAAGATAAGAGAGACGATTTTCGGCAACCCTATACAAAAGTGCCAACAGGAACAATTTCAAGAAGTATATGCACATATGTTTCCGATGACCGGAGGAAAAGAAAAGGTGTGGGGCGACACGTCTGAAAACTGCCTAGGGCGGCAAAATGCCCAGTCCGTCAGCCCATGGTCAGATGTCCGAGTTAGCATGTGGTGGTGGGAGTAAAATCCGCACGTAAACGAAGGAAAGCCACATTTTCGCGGTTCATCCCAGAAGCATTTTAATGAGGTTGCCTAACGTGGGGGGGGGGGGGGGGGGGGGGGGGGGGGGGCAAGAATAACAGCGGGAGAATGAACTAGAGAAACGGTTGCGCGAATAAAGTCTAGTACGCTGTGTCGAAGCCGTGTCAGCCCACGGTCCG